AATTAGACCTGCTTTCTGATTTAGCTAAACTTTTCCCAGCCCAGTGAAGCACCCCAACTTCTCTTTAAGGTAATTGTCAGCAACACAGCAGTAAATAGCAACACAAAGCAGATTATTATTATAGATCACGCAGGGGGAACAAAGGGTAAAATATTTAACTGCAGCAGTGTTTTTTTTTAATTTTTTATTGATTAAGTTAATACATATGTGTCCTTATCCCCCATCCACCCCACTCATACCCTCACCCCCCTGTTGTCTGTGTCCATTGGTTAGGTCTATATGCTTGCATATAAGTCCTTTGGTTGATCTCTCCCCTTTACCCCCACCCTCCTCTACCTTCCCTCTGAGGTTTGACAAAAACAGATCCAGAGACAGAGAAGCATCGATCAGCAGTGTTTTTTTAAATATGTATTTCTTTATTGATTTCAGAGAGGAAGGGAGAGGGAGAAACATCAATGATGAGAGAGAATCATTGATTGGCTGCCTCCTGCATGCCCCCTACTGGGGATCAAGCCCGCAACCCAGGCATGTGCCCTTGGACAGAATCAAACCTGGGACCCTTCAGTCCGCAGGCCAACGCTCTATCCACTGAACCAAACCGGCTAGGGCTGCAGCTGTGTTTGACTATATTCTGTGCAGTGAGAAAACCTGAAGTCATTTTCAAAGTCCACCATTTCTTACTTCTTTTCAGTCAGGTCAAGTATCTATCTAAGCTTTCTAAATCTCTGTTTTCTGGTTAATGAAAAGAGAATAGAACTCCACCGAGTCTCCTATCTACCTACTCCAGGTCTTCTGTGAGGATCAAATGAGATGAAGTACAGTGGGGCCTTGACTTACGAGTGTCCCGACTAACAAGTTTTTTGAGATACCAGCGGTCTCTCAGCCGATTTTTTGCATTGAGTTGATAGAGTAATTTGAGTTAATGAGCTCCTTAACGAGCTTGGTCTCGGAACGAATTAAACTCGTAAGTCAAGGCCCCACTGTATGGGAAAATGCTTCACAGACATTTGGTTACAGTGTAAAATATTTCCACCTGGCTATAAAGCAAGTGGTGTTCCTGGGCTGAAGAAACTTCAAGGAGGCTAGTCCTCTCTAGGGAGAGGAAGCCGGGTGTTGCTACTTGACATCTTTACCCGGAAGGAGGGAAGGACACTTAGCATATTAGCCTTTTATATAGATAGATTAGATTGATAGATAGATAGATAGATAGATTGATGATAGATATATAGATAGAAACTTTTAAAATGCTATTCAACCATCAATACTGGGGTATTATCAAACCACAAATTCTCAAGTTGGTTAGCAGCTATTTACATGACATGACCATACTGATCATCTTAATATCCAAGTCCTTGGCTGCCCACAGGAATGGTTGATATAACAGCAGTACAAAGAGGGCTCCTGGCCATCATGGTCCTAGTGCCAAGGAGGCTAGCAGTGGGCACAGGGATTTAACAAAGTTGGGACAGGCTGAGGAGAAAGGGAACTTGTGGTTGCAGAAAGAGGGGAGTGAAGGCTGATGAAGGCTGGTTTAAGCAGATGGTTAGTTATGTTTTAGGATACAAAGAGAAGGGGTGGGGAGCTGTGGATGGGGCAATAATTATTATTCAATGCTACCGTGTGTCAATCATGCACTTGGTAATTTGCATGTTACTTCATTTTTTTCTCTCCAATCTAGGGGACAGGTACTATCACCATTTATAAGAAAGTCACACACTTAGTGGAGAAACTGAACTCAAACTCATATCTGTTGAACTCCAAAGCCTACATTCTTTTCACTGTGATATATTGCATAGAGACAAAATTTGATCAAAAAGCTTGAAAATGGTGCATACATAATCTGGAATATTCTGAAGAAAAATTGAGAACATTGAGGTTCCAACTTTGAAGAACCTGAAGAAAAGGATATTTGATTAATTGTCCTAAAATCTGATGATGATTTATATTTTCTTATTTTTAAATCTAAATTCTAAGAAAATTTGGATTATAAAAATTTTTTCCTAAATTTAGGACATAGGCATTTTTCAGATAAACCTAACCAGAGCTGACATGAGGCTATTTATGGTCTTTATGAATCTCAGTGTGAATAGTCATATATTTTGCTGAATAAAATTGATGTGTGGTATTATAGGGGGTTGCCCTGGGGATGTTATAGTGTATGCACATAGTTCTATAAAATATCTTAAATTCTGAATTCAGAAGTGAAACTGGCCTGAAAGTTGTCTTTTTATTTTCATGTCTTGAAAGTAGCTATGCAGCCAAACTAACTAGAGAAAAATTAGAAGCTTTTACCAGAAGGGGGAGCTATGACCCCACCAGACTGACTTGTAGGAAACCAGTACTGTTGAAAAAGCTTTTGCAGGGGGATAGAAGAATGAGAGAGAATGAGAGGGAGAGGGAGAAGGAGAGAGAGGAGGGGGAGAGGTATATGTGGAGAGGTTTATGACTGGGGAGATTTAAATATGCTGCATCTTAGTTAAGAGCCTGTTTTTCTTTCTTTAGATGGGACAGGAACAGACATTTGGAATCCTTAATGTCCTGGAATTTTCTAGGTATGTTTCTCTTTCATGCATTTGAAATAAAATACATGTACATATACATATACATATACATATACATATACATATACATATACATATACATATACATGTGAGTGTGTGTGTGTGTGTAATAACTTCATCAGTGCATTTGCATGATGGTATGATTAATATAGCACTTAAGTATTAAATATAGTAAATATATCACCATAAACCCTCTTCTTTCTGGAATTTGTGACTCATTAGAGAAAGCAAAGTAGGTAAATTTTCTTTTTTTCAAATGAAATGTTATGCTTCCATATCCTTCTTTTTCTTTGGATTTCCAGAACCTGGTGTTCTCGCATCAGGATCCACAGACATGCCTGCATGGTTTGGAGTATGTGACGAGGGAATTATTTCCATTGGTTTTCCCAGGTCCATCTGAGTACTCCCATGCAGGATCTGGGAAACTGACAAAGAAGAGTAGATAAGATGAATTCATCCTACTACAAACTTGGTCTGAGCAGGGCAGCTCTCCGTATTTGGACTTAGTCTTCCCATTGTAGTTTATTTAATTTTGATCTGGGAATACTTGTCGGATTGCTTGTTTGCCTAGATCAGTGGTCGGCAAACTCATTAGTCAACAGAGCCAAATATCAACAGTATGACGATTGAAATTTCTTTTGAGAGCCAAATTTTTTAAATTTAAACTATATAGGTAGGTACATTGTTATTAACTTAATTAGGGTACTCCTAAGGCTTAGGAATAGCCACACTCAAGGGGCCAAAGAGCCGCATGTGGCTCACGAGCTGCAGTTTGCCGACCACGGGCTAGATCATTCACAGTTTGTTATAAAAGTATCTTAATGTTTTGTTTTTCCCTCCTTAACACTGAACTGTCCATACTAGAGCAAGTTTCTCTTGTTACTTCCAAAGCATCTTTTCCTACTATTGAAATTAGGAGGATTTTTCAACAACCTTTATTAACTGATTCACAAATTGTTTACTCTGTCTGCTTTATAAGCTATTTGAAAAAGATCAATTATTTACCCTCTTTTAGGAAATGCTTCCCAGCCCTAGTCTTTAGTTTTAGGACTGCAAACTTGAGTCCTTAGGATTGAGTATTCAATGGGAGAGAAAGGTGGTTGATAATAGTAATAGTTCATGTAGGGGGTCGGGGACAGGTCCATGTGTGGAGGTGAGGGGCATACTAAACATCTCTCCAGATGTAAATATCTCTCCAGATGTTTTGTGCCCCATCTCTTGTTGATGTCTTGGAAACTGTGCTGTTATGTGGCTGCATTAACTGGGAGCAGCAGTTATTGGAGGGATGAGGAGGAGGAAAGGGAGTTAGATTAAAATAGGTGAATATGGATGGAGATATGAGAATCTATTAAAAAATATCGGAGAATAAGAGGGAACAAAAAATCATTTAGTTGACTCATCTTTTTCTGGATGCCACTTAGTCACTTCTTTGAAGTAATTGGTGGCAACCTTGCTTTATACAGAAACTGAAATTCCGGGTGAATAATCTTGCTTAGAGTACCTGGCTACCAGGTAGCTCAGAGAGAATTTAAATCCAGCTTAGAGAGTGTGCTATGGGTTAGGATGCAGGGATTTACACAAAGCTGGAGAGATAATGTCCCCTAGTCTTAGGAGCTTACAGTCCATCAGAAATCACCTATTCAAAGGCCAAAGAGGTGGGGGATCAAGGGCCCACTGTAGTTGGGATGTGTTTCAGGAAGATGATATGTTGTCTGCAAAGGCATGGAACTGAGGGGCTAAAGAAGGAGAACAGTAAGGCTTCTGGTGAGCTGGGAGCCTGGTGTGTGAGAGGGTTAAGTGGGAGATCAGGGGAGGCTGCAGAGTTTGTTGGAGATCAGCAAGAAGATGAATCCATAGGCAATGGGGAGCCATTGAGGCTTCCTGAGTGAGGATGGGTTACGATGAAAGATGAATAAGGAAGTGTCCACGTTGGAGTGGGGAAAGGAGTGATAGAGTATACCTTAGTGCTCAGTTAGGGGTGTTCTATGAATTAGTAATTTCTTTCTACTCCTGTTAAAAGATACAATGAGGAACTTCTGAGTGAGGTGGATTTATAGTGAAGGTTCTCCATTTTGCTCTTACTGGGCAGGTTACTTAATATTTTTGAACTGCAAAATAAAGAAAAATCATTTTACAGAGTATTGTCAGAAGTGAATTAGATGTCCATAGTAGATGCTCAAATTCTCTGTTTCTGTGTCTTTGACTATAAAAAGCTACACTAGTGAGTTTTTTATGGCAGGGAAAGGAATAGGTTTATGTCCATTATATGTAAATAAAAAGAATAGGAGATATACAATTAAAATCTGACTTTGAGGAAAAAAGTAGGGAAAAATGGAGCTTGGTCATTTTGGACCTTGCCAGACCACCTTTTGACTTGTTTGGTGTTTAATCATAGGACATCGGTCCTATAAAACAGACCAATGAGAACTTTCTTTTCCTTTTTTTATATCTACAGTGACAGAAAGAGAATGTCTGTGATTGCTCGAACTCCTTCAGGACAACTCCGGCTCTATTGTAAAGGGGCTGTAAGTACTGGCTAGTCCTGCACAGCCGGGCATTCTTGGCAGCCCTGCTGTTAACCTGGGGCTTTTCCCAAACGCTGTCCTCATCATTCTGGTCCTTTGCCCAAAGGTGAAAGGTTCTTTCAGGTGGGCCATCAGGTTGACTTCGTAGTAGAAGCCCACTGACGATAATGGTGGTTCAAGCCAGGGTGGCAAGGATGGCCGGTGAAAGGCTAGCTTATAGTCCACAGCTGGTTTCAGAAACAGTAACTTGCTGTGTCATGGAAAATCCCGGGAGTATGAATTCTGATTCTAGTTTATCACCATTGTGTGGTAACTTTGGGAAGATAAAGTAATTTGTGATAATCCTTATATATGCAGGGTGGGCAAAAGCAGGTTTATAGTTGTGAGTGTGGGAAACCCAGTTAATAAAGCTATTGTAATCACGACCTACGTGTCTTTCCATATGAACAACTGTAAACCTACTTTTGCCCCACCCTGTATGATTATATATATGAAGATTGTATATGTTTGTGAATATATATATATATACTTAAAACAGCTATTCTCAATTTTTGTGATTTATTTTTTTATTCATCACAGAGGGTTATGTGGCCATATTTTTACTGCCCTTTTTGGTCAGTTTCCTAGGTCAGGCTTTTTGTTTTGACTGCCTCCCAGTAATCAAATCTAAATGTATTATCTTTAAGGAAAGATGTTACTATATATGAGCCTGACTTGCAAAACTATATCTTATATGGTCCTATGTGTAGAAGGAAAGAATTATTAAGCTCATTTTATGAGCCTGTTTCAAGAATATGAAGTTGAAAATCTTACTAATCTTTATCAACTGTGGAAAGAAGCATTTTCTTATTTCAGTACACTTAGCTAGAGCTTTTTAAAAAATGAGTAATGCATGGGAATTCTAAAGGCATTTTATCTGGACTCATTAAAGAATTCTGTTTATAGTAATAACTGAAATCAAAATTATGTTCGCACATGATAGGTTTTTTAAGTGTTTTATTTGTTTGTTTATTTGCCATTGTGTTCTAAGTACGACAGCAAGTACAGAGGGGGCAATGTGGGTGGCACAGAGGAAGGCTGTAACTAAACAGTGTAAATATGGAAAAGCTACAGTGCAGTTTTTATTTTTATAGGATTTAATTTTCTTCAACCTGTCTCCCCAAACCAAATTAGATTTCTTTAAAACAGAATTGTGTCCTAAAACTGTACAGTTTATAGCATATTAGATGGATCATCTGTGTTGTCCAGTCCTTCAGCCCTGCTTGTTAGTCATGGAAATTGTCAGAGGGTGATGTGTTTCTCAGCTGAAAGGGGTTCCATGCCCCATGGGAGGTGCCCTCCCCGGTTAGGAGCTTCTGAGTGTCAGGAAGCAAGAGTACTTGAGCAATTTAGGACATGCCTTTGCCCTTCTCACTTCTGTACAAAGGTGTTATAAACTTTGGTGTGAATTGTGCAGATTTGGGGGAATGTAGGACCATTGTGTCTTGGATGGTTCTGCTGACACCGATGGTCTTCCCCAACATGTTTTTTTAAACTTCTATTATTATATTTTTAATTTTAGTTTTCAATTACAGCTGACACTCAGTTTTATTTATATTAGTTTCTGGTGTATGCATAGTGGTTAGAGAGTTCTATAATTTGCGAAGTGATCCCCAGATCACTCAAGTACCCACCTGGCGCCATGCATAGTCATTCAGTATTATTGACTATATTCCCTGTGCAGTACTTTACATCCCCATGGCTGTTTTTATTTGGACACATCCATACTCAATTTGTTTTCCAAAGCTCATGGCTGAATCCAGCTAAGAACAATATTTCTACTTGCCCACTCAGTATTCTCATGAGAATAAAATAAACACCATTGAAACCAAGCTGTGTTCAGAATGCTAACCAAAGGTTTACTTACGGTTTGCCAGTCACACTGTTTCCTTATTTTATAGGACAATGTAATTTTTAATAGACTTTCGAAAGATTCAAAATACATGGATGAAACATTATGCCATCTGGAATATTTTGCCACTGAAGGTAAGTGAAATTTGGAAATGCTATTTTTAACCATTGAAGTCATACTTTCAAAGGTCTATGACTGGTGCCTGGGTAAGCAGTCATGTTCTGAATAGGCATGTTATGGTTGGACGTGGCTGGCTTCATAGGAGTATAAGTTTCTAATGCTAAACCCTGTGCCCATCCTCCACATTCTGTGCCCTTGGCAGTGACAAGATGTGTGGCAAGTTCCATATTCAGTTATCTACATATGTCTCTGCTGACTCCAACCAGCAGTGCAGAGGGAAAAGGCAGGCCAAATCAGTCTGTACAATCAGCTTGTAGTTATGGTTCCCTTTCTTGGAAAACTCATGTTATTTTCCTGTCCCTCTCTTGTGGTCCTTATGACACTGGCTTACCCAGCGTGAGGGGTACAGAGGAAGCTAATGACTCCAGGAAATAATTCATTGGACCCACAGAGGAACAGGAAAAGAGTTCTCTGAAAGGCTTTAAACAGCACTGATGTCAGGGTTTCCTGCAAGGGAATGTGATGAAAGCTGGAGCCTTGCTGAAGTACTGACTGCTGCTTTTTCTTCATGTGCTCCTATGGCTGCATGCACATACACACACACACACAGACACACACAGAACAGATACACACATACACAAACACACACACACAGACACATACACACACACACACACACACACACACACGGCTGCTTGAAAGTCTGGATCTTTTACATGGTAGCACATTGCATTTTTATTGCTGTCTTGAAATGTACCTCCTGCCTCCTCTAATTGCTGATACCTGCTACTGCACATATAAAGATGGATCCTGCATAACTCCCGTACTTCTCTACTGTGGGAATTTACTTTCACAGCTTCTCACGTACTCGCAAATCTATAGAAAAGGTGGTTTATGGTAAAATACAGTAGAGTTGTTTTTAAGTTCCCTTTTTTAGATGTGTGAAAGTTGAATTAGTGACCTAAAAAGCAGCTGGTATTTTAGAAGTTTTTGAGCATGCTGGTATGAAATGGAGCACATGAGGTTAGCTAGGAGGGAAGGTACCCCGCTTGCCCCCACCACTAGTGGCACCATCAGGATACACTGTGGCTGTTTTGCAGGCTTGCGGACTCTTTGTTTGGCGTATGCTGACCTCTCTGAGAGTGATTATGAGGAGTGGCTGAAAGTCTATCAAGAAGCCAGCACTATATTGAAAGACAGAGCTCAGCGGCTGGAGGAGTGTTATGAGATCATTGAGAAGGTAACTGCACATGCTAAAGTCCTTACTGCCCAATGAGGGGCTTACCCACCTGTTGAACAAGTCTTGGAGCAGGAATCTTTTAGCTATAGAGTGATGTTCTCTTTTCTGGTATCTCAACCACTAGCTTTTAACCATTTCTTACCTTGTTTTAAGAAACACTTAGTTTTTATGGACTGTTTGAGGTGTAGCCACCCTCAGCTAAGCATTAGTGATTTCTTAAGAAGTTTCAGGTCAACACAGCATCAATGATTATCTGGGTCTGCCTAAGATTAGGCTTAACAAGATGATCTCATCCTATTGAGTTACATGAGCAATGAGAATTCATAGGCTGGTAGGACACTGTACATACTAAGAATTCTTGCACCTATGTATTCTAATAACTTAAAGTTTTGCCATTGCTAGTCCATGTTGCCTACTTTGATTTTTGTTGTTGTTGTCTTTTTCATTTTATCCCAAGACCTTAGGTAGCTTCCTACACATTGGATTCCCTGTTAAATAACAAAATTTAACTGAGTAAATTTGAAGATCTTATTGACTTTACTAAGCAATTGGTAGTATCCCATCTAGCAATTAGAAGGGCGCTCTGAAGGTTTTTATAGACTCTGACGGTGTGTCACGGGAGTTATTAGTAAAAGAAAAGAAAGGATTATTTTTAGGCTGGGTTGTCTTTTGTTGGGAAGGGATTGGTAGGGGGTTTATTGTGCAGATTACCTCACTAGTATTTCTCAGGAAATTCCAGCCTGATTGGTTTAAAATTTCATTGCAGGGAGAGGCTGAAAATGCAATTAGGTTAGTTATTAAGTTTTGGCTTAGTGGCATGGCTTAGTGATAGTGACTCCATTTTGGCCTGTAGTTTTTCATTTGTTTGAGTGTTTTTGTTTTTCTTTCACCTCAAATCTGGGAGCTTGATTTCAACTTTTTCTGTTTCATATCAGCAACCATTGGTCCATCCATTTTTTCAGTTTCTTATAACTCTGAAGTCATCACTTGATTGCTTTTTTTCATCCCTGTGTGTATGTGTGTGTTTGTTGTTTATTTCCACTTTGCTTTTTTATACTTAGTTTTTGAGTTTTATATTCACTTGTTTGTCATTATTGGATTTTGGGTGGGATTAAAACTGAATTCCATTTCCCTGCTTTACTTTTGAAGTCAGAAAAAAGTAATTAAGTAGATGGCCTGCACCTGCAATGCCAGGCATATATGGTGGATGCTCGAGAAATAGTTGGCTTTTCTCATCAGTTGAATCAGTTTCTTATCAATGAATTCATTCTTTTCATGTTTTAACTCTAACACTAGAGGCCTGGTGCATGAATTTGCGCATAGGTGGGATCCCTAGGCCTGGCCGATGGTCGCCAGGCTGGGCGCAGAAGGAACGGATGCCAGATGCCAACATGGTTCCCTGCCTTCCCCCAACTCCTTCCCTCACCACTGTGCCGCCACCGCGGAGGGCAGGCAGTGGGCCGATTGGGGCCTGCCAGCCTGAGGGGAGGGTCAGGGAGGTTGGCTGCCGGCCCCGAGGAGGGAGCCGGCCCTAGGCCTCCCTGGGAAAGGGGCTGTGTCTGCCGCCATCCACCCTCGGTTCCCTGTCTCAGCCCCGAAGGCCCCGGCAGGGTTGGGAGAGGAGGCTATGGTCACCGGGCGTGGAAGGAACAGACACCGGACACCGCAGCTGCCGTTGGCACCCCACCACCAAGTGGTTCCCTGCCTCCCCTCCTCCTCCTTCTGTCACTGCTGCACCACCACCCATTGGGGCTTGCCGGCTGGGGAAGGGACGGGGGACAGACCGCAGGTGGTTGGCCAGCTGGGGAGAGAGACCGCGGGCGGTTGGCCGGCCACAGGAGGTTGGCTGTGGGAGTGCACTGACCACCAGAGGGCAGCTCCTACATTGAGCATCTGCCCCCTGGTGGTCAGTGTGCGTCATAGGGACTGGTCGACTGGTCATTCCGGTTATTCTAGTTGTTCGGTCGTAACGGTTGCTTAGGCTTTTATATATATATATATATATAATACTTGAGTCATTTTCAGAGTTATAAGGGAGGGCTCATATACTATTAATATCCTCAGGATAACTTGCCCACCTGTTCTGCTAGGTGACTTCTGTTCTAAAATGCCGGTGTACAAAGAAATAAATGACTACTGGATGCCTATGTGTATGGAGAGGTTTGGACATTGGCAATAGCTTGGAAATTCCACACATCTAGATATTAACTATCTGCAAACAAAGATTTAATGTAGAGGAAACATGATCATTGTCTCACAACATTTTGACTGCCTTTCTTTTGTCAGAGTTTTGCCATAAATGCTGCTCTTAAGTATGTACCAATCTTTAATTGAAGATATTTTTCAATCTAGAATTTACTGTTACTTGGAGCCACAGCCATAGAAGATCGCCTTCAAGCAGGTGTTCCAGAAACCATAGCAAATCTGCTGAAGGCAGGAATTAAAATATGGGTGCTGACAGGAGACAAACAAGAAACTGCAATCAATATAGGTAATTAATTTAAAAGAATTCCCTGATGCTGGTTTTTGTGTTGTTTTTAAAGTGTCTTGTAGAAGCAACTAGGGGTTCCTCAAATGCATTGAAGATTATATTTCATAGAACTCGTCATTCTAAGACAAGAAAATTTTACTGAAATCAAATGAAGATGGTCTTTTGAGCATTATCTACCCATTATAAACATTATAAATATTGCATCTTCCTGAAAAGTATTAAACTCAGTTACCTGGGATATAGAATTTAAGAGTTAACAACTTTGATTTTATTATTGCCTTCTTCACAGAGGTATAGTCTAAGATACTAAGAGTATGTTTTCACTAAGTTTACATATGCAGTTATTTTATATAATTACTAGAGGCCATGCACCAGTGGGGTCCCTTGGCCTGGTCTGCACCCTCTCGCAATCCGGGATTCCTTGGGGGATGTAGGAGAGCTGGTTTTGGCCCGATCCCTGCAGGCCAGGTCGAGGGACCTCTCTGGGTCCAGGGTGTGGGTGAAGTAGATTCGGGGCCAACAGTGTCCCAGCAGCAACCTAACCCACAGCAGATTCCACGAGGAATCGGGCTCCCTCCTCCCTCCTCTCTGGGTCTGGGGTGCGGGTGAACCAGATTTGGGGTGAACAGTGCCCTAGCAGCAACCTAACCCATGCCCGATTCCATGAGGAATCAGGCCCCCTCCTCTACTGGTCGGAGTGTCTTCCCCCTGGTGGTCGTTGTGTGTCATAGCTACCGGGCAAATGGTCGACCGGTCGGACAGTTGCTTAGGCTTTTATATATATACACTAGAGGCCCAGTGCACGAAATTCATGCACTGATAGGGTCCCTAGCGGCTGCCGGCTGCCGCTGGGTACTCCCTCCCTTCCCCTGGCCACCTGCCTCCCACCGCTGCCATTGGTCGCCACCTGCAGGGCCTGATCGCCCTGCCACTGCCTGGCTTCCAGGTGCTGAGGGAACAGGGTGGCAGCCCCAACCCCTACTGCTGCCGCTGGTCACCACCTTATGGGGGCCCGATCGCACCACTGGTTGCCCTGCAATCAGATCGTGGAGCATCAGGTCCCTGCCCGGCTCCCTCAGTGCCTGGGAGCCTGGTGGCGGCGGAGTGATTGGCTCCTGCCTGGTGACCAGTGGCTTGCACCTGCCTTGGCCTGGTGCTGCCCACTCACCTGCTCCACCATCCTGCCTCTGTCCAGCTCTTGTCGGAGCCCATCAGGGTCTGCAGCACCTCCACTGCTGCCAGTGCCGTGTCACCAACGCCTACCATGTTCCATGCCGCCCCCTGGTGATCAGTGCACGTCATAGCAAACAGTCGAACTCCCAGTTGAGAGGACAATTTGCATATTAGGCTTAGATAACCATTTTAATGATATTATCAATTAATAGATTTTTCTAAGAGTCTTGTATTTTTCTTTTCCCCATCTGAGTTGGCAATCTCTTTGGTTGCTAAGTTATACAGAAATGAAAATTGAAGAAAAGAAATTTAAGAACAAATAACTCTATCAGTGTTAAAGAGGTACATGTTAAGTCTGAAAAGGAATTGAAACTACTAATTTAAAAAAATCTAGTTTTGATTATTTGAATTACTTTTAAATTATCTGGTATTTCTGTCACCATTATGGTGTAACAAGCTGTGGTATATATGTGATAAAATAAAAACATGAGGACTACATAACTGATAATGTATTTATGGAAATAGATTCTTTGTCACAGATCATTTTAGAAAGAAACATACTAGAACATCTGAATTGTTGTCCTGTTTGGAGTAGTCTTCCTGGTGCCCCTTTTCCTAAACCTTCTTTTTTGAATCAGCTCCATCTCTTAGATAACCTCAATTGTAGACAATACCTACCATATTGAATGAATTTCATCTCTTTAAAAAATTTTTTTTATTGATTTAAGAGAGAGAGGAAAAGAGAGAGATCGTGTGCCTCACCTGGGAATCAAACTATCAACCCTTCGGTGCATGGGACACACTCCAACCAACTGAGCCACCCAGCCAAATCTCATCTCTTTTTTTTAATAGACAAAAAACATTTAATAATTTCTTCTCAAGGGTATAGCTAATCAAATGCAATTTGAACTCCCAACCAACTGAAAGTAAAGTCACAGAAGAGTAATATGTGATTCAGAGCAGCCTCTGAAGCATTGGTTATAGACTGTCCATTGATCTGTGATAGATGTCTCTCAAATGCAAATGGAGAATAGTATGATGAAATTTCTGTGAAGGCCTATCACTACTACTAAAAAATAAAAACCTATTTCTTATAACCTTTTGGTGATATTATAACATTTTTATAAATGAAGGATAATACATTGGCTTTTGGTATAATGTCTCTCTCTATATGTATATACATTGGCCCTTCAGGTATAATTTCCCATATAAACTTGGCCTAAAGCACCTGCTATTGAACTATGGCTCCTGTTGTTCATATAGAGTACATAAAGTTGACTGCTGCCTGGAAATTCTTAGTTCAAATTTAGGGGTATGCCCTCGCTGGTTTGGCTCAGTGGATACAGTGTTGGCCTGCATACTGGAGGGTCCTGGGTTTGATTCCCATCAAGGGCACATGCCTGGGTTGCAGGCTTGATCCCCAGTGGGGGGCGTGCAGGAGGCAGCTGATCGGTGATTCTCTCTCATCATTGATGTTTCTATCTCTCTCCCTTATCTCTGAAATCAATAAAAATATATTTAAAAAAACTTAGGGGTATGTTTTCTGCTCCTCTAGAGCAATATGAAAGAAGTGGGTAACTCCCACAAGTTAAAATAGAACTGTAGTGATAAGCTTTTTAAATTTTCTAGATCTTGAGTGTTTCTGTTGGACTAACAGCTTTTCTGTGTCCCTAGACCCAGACTTAATTTCCACAGCCAGATCACCCTGCCCTTGGGAGCACACATGTCCCTCTTCCTGCTTGCTCCTTTTGTTTATTGCAGCTCATCAGAGTCTAGCCAAGTTTGGAATAAATACAAATAAAAGCAAAGGGCTGCAAATCAACCCAGAAACACAAATGGCTTCTTATTCCGAGGAAGACTTTACTTGCACACAGTGAGGCTTCTCTGAGCCTTATGAGATCATCGATACCTGTCCAGTTTTTACAAATAACAATTGTATGATTTTGTGTGTGTTTTTTTAAAGAATGTATAACAACATTTGTAGCTTGGGTTCCAGAACACTCACATCCATAAGATACTTTAAAATTGATCTTTTATAGCTAAGTTTCAAGACCACTATGCCTCTTACTTATAAGCTGATGACTTTGCCAAAGTCTTATATTTCTCCTGGAGCTTGTCTCTACTTACATTTGTGCTAGTGTGTTAGTTGAATTCAAACATCTCTTGGGTGTCACAAAGTAGGCTTGTAACAGCTCAGGCACTGATGTACTTTGGAAAAGCTATGTCTGAATTATTTTTTCACTTTGTATTCAGAACTCAAGTTAGTAACCCTGGGCGATATTGAGGGATTAAATGTCATTTTCTGACTTAGGATATCTGTTGAGCCTGCACATGTTACAGAATGTGTAGACATCCAGCCATTTTATTAGACTCTCTTGTGTCAGATCACAGACAACAGCTACATGTAGGACAAGGTCATGCTCCAGATAGTCTGGGTTGTAAAGCCTGTGTTCTAACCCAACCCAAACCGTAACCCTAACCTTAACCCTAACCCTCAGTAACATGAACCATTATTGATCTGTCTCTTATTATACTGACTGGATATTCTGTACATTTTTGTGCATTCTAGGTGCATCTAGGGTACCCAGAAGATATTTGGGAGGAAGATCAAGTGTCTAGTAGTCATACTTCTAGATGAAGTCAGGAAAAGAGAACAAATGAATAGTGTCTGCTGAGTGTCAGGCTCTGTGCTGGGCATGCTTTCTGGACATCATTTTCAGTCTTTACACATGAACAGTCTTAAGCTCAAGGGGGAAATTCAGAGTTTATAGAGATTACACTCTACTTAATGACCAAGCAAAAACTGGGTCTCAGGGCTCTTGACTTCTGATGCAGGGCTCATTTTAAACAGATTCATAAGGTTTTGCAAAATCTGTTCCCTGAAATTTGAGTTAGCAGACAGGAGGAGAATGGTAGTATATTTTATTCATTTGAAGATGCACATTGTTTTTATATTTTAACATCTCTGAAATTGGATGTCTTATGATTGTCAACTCTTGAAATTTTAAGGCAACATGTCCTTAGTGGTACATATAGTCAGAGTTCATATTTAGAGACTAGAGGCCCAATGCACGAAATTCGTATAAGAGTAGACCTTCCGTCCCCTGGCTACCGACACTGGCTTCCCTCTGGCACCTGGGACCCGGGCTTCCCTCCCAGAGGGAGGCCCTGCCCACCTGCCTCAGCCTGCTGGTCAGTGGCCAGGGCCTCCCTCTTTGGGGCGATCGTGGAGCCCCCCGATTGATCGCCCCGCTGGCCGGTGGGCTGGGCCTCCCTCTGCGGGGTGATCATGGGGCGATGGCTGGGCCCCCAACCAATTGCATCTCACCCATCTAGGCTGGCTTGGAGCCAGTGGGTGTCATAGCGTGGTTCCGGATGATCATCCAGATGGTCATTCCACTGTTCGGCCGTTTGGTTGATTTGCATATTATGCTTTTATTATATAGGATGACATATGGTATGTTTGGGTTCTTGGCTCTTTTTAGTATTTGATCTACCTATTAATCATAGTTTGATAATTTATTTTAGTTCATGCCTGGAAAATAAATATACTTAGTCAAATTAAGTTCCAGGATATTTGTGTCTCCTATGAGCCAGTGAACATTATGTAGATAGACAGTCATCTTGCCTGTAGGTTGTAGGTAGTTTAGAACTGGCACAATGCCAGACCCCTGCTGTGCCGTGCTTGCATTTATGCTAACTAGCTGTGTTTCAAGGAGTGCAATTTTCTATTTTAGCTTAAAAGTTTGGCATCAGCTAGTCTAAAGTGAAATCTCAAATGTAGCCTTTGTGAATTGTGTAGTCGTCATTTCCTTATTACCAATGGA